TCCTCCCCGTAGCTACACTTCTTATCCCACTTCCAGTTGTCTAGAAGATGGGGCTGAAGCATATATTTGCTATATGTCTTGAATACAATTTTATACTTTTTTAAAAGAAAAAGGGGACCAAAAAATAAATAAATAAAAGAAAAAGGGACCTGTCAGAGCCCTACCACAAAAGACGAGGGGAAAAAAAAAAAAAAAAAACAACAACAACTAAAGATCAGACACATTGAAAGTAGCTTGTGATGGATTTCTCTTTCATGGCTCCGTTTATTTCAGTTTTTTTTTTTAAATGACCCATACACGTTCTACAAAGTGTACATTCCCACAGGTTCATGGCAAAGTCCCCCTGCTCCCTGGGTGCCTGGTCTGGCCTTGTAGAAAAGTCTTGTCCATGTCTTGGAAACCATAAACACAAGAAAGGATTACTGTAAACTCTCTACTCGTAAAATTCCACAGGACTGAACTTCATTCTCTGGCTTCTGTGCTTGGGAGAAAAGGCACAAATCAAATGAATCCTTCACTCTAGAAAAATAGTGCCAATTATGGACATTTAATAAAGCTTTGTAGGGGCACCTGGGGTCTCCACTGAAGCCTCTGCCTTTGGCTCAGGTCACAATCTCAGGGTCCTGGAATCGAGCCCCACGTCAGGCTCCTTGCTCAGTGAGGAGCCTGTTTCTCTCCCTCTCTCCCATCCCCCACTCATGCTCTCTCTCGCTCTTTCTCAATAAAATCTTTTTTTAAAAAAATAAAGCTTTGTAAGCTACACAGAACCAGGAATACAAAAAGGAATGCAATTGCATTTATTGACCCAAGACCTGAGAACCGCATCTGGGGGCATCTCTCTTCCCCCACCTGCCAAGAGTAGAGCTGGCTCTTCTGTCCTGTTTGAGGCTCATGCCCTAACCGCTACATTTCTAGACTCAGCACCTGCTCCCAAGTCTGTACCCTGAGAAATGGTCTTTGAAATCCTTCCAGGCTGAGGTTTGTTCTCATGGATCTTTTAAAATCCTTAGTGACCAGCAGAGAACTTAAAATAGAATAACTTTTAAAATAAATATATAAATAAAAATAAAAGGAAAAAGGATGAGTGTATGGATGGAGGGAGGGAAGGAGGGATGGATGGATGCGTGGAGGGAAGGAGGAAGGGATGGCTGAGTGGACAGAGGGATGGTACATGCATGGGGGGGGAGTAGAAAGGGATGGATAGAGAGAGGAAGGGAAGGCTGGATGCGTGGAAGTGGGGGTTGCTTGTAAGGCTGGCTGGCTGGCTTGCTGGCTGGATGGATGGATAGGAAGGGACGGTGGGATGGTTGGAGGGAGGATGGGCTGGCGGGTGGGTGGGTGGGTGTGGAAAGTGGACCAACGCTTGAGTAAAGGTTCCTGCCTCTTGTCCCATCTAATGCTCTGTCTTTAACACCGCAGAATGTGTCTTGGGATTTGGAGTAACAAGAAGCAGCAATGGGAGTTTTCTTTATTGGTCACACAGAAAGCAGAGAGCTGAACTAACTGTACCTCCTGGCTCTGAGTTCAGTTGCAACCTCTCCGCTCTGAAGTCTGGTTCACAAGAACCGCACACCTGGAGACCAGCTGCTGGAAAGAAAAACTTTATATAAAGAAGTAAGTGTGTGGGGGTGAGGGCAGGAGGCCTATCATGAGTCTTCTCTCCCTTCTCTTGTGGTTGTGAGGCACTGGGCTTGTAGGAGGCACCTTATTTAGATTGGACAGCTTAAGACATATTTTCATTCAGAGTGGCAGAGATCACAAGACTTTCACACCAACACGCCTGGGGCTCAGCTGCCAACGCCATGTGGTACCAACACCGAGAAAAGGAAAAAGCAAAGACTCCAGGGTCTGGAAGTACTTTCCAGGCTGTTACAGGGAGAACCATAAATGCTAGAGCTGCCCAGAGGGTGGGCACACAGCCAGCCTGCTCGCACCCTCACGAGCCCTCTGACGAGTGTGAGACAGCACAGCCGCTCACAAGAGCCCGCAACCGAGCTGTGTGCAGAGCCGGTTTGAAGATGGTTTTCTTGAATAAAGAACTCAACTGCTTACAAGTCAGGGTGGTTGCCCCCTGGACAGAAAGCACGACCAGCTCTAACAGAGCAACCCCAGGGAGGGGACGGATGTGCCAAGGCATTCTTTTGGTCCCAAACAACTTCAAAGATTTGCACAGACTCATCCCAAGTACAGATGGGTACCACGCACAGCATCTCTGGGCACGCAATCATCAGGAAGGGAAGGAGGGAAGGAGGAGACTCCACTTCCTTCCCTGGCGATGGGAAGGGACCCAGAGGGGCAGGAGAGTGAAGGGTGCTAGGAGACCCCTTCTTTCCCTGTGCCTCCCCTCTGGGCAGCACCCCAGAGCCGGACGAGGGGTCTTCCTACTGAACCGGTTCTTCAGGCTCCCATGTCTCCAAAGGGTAGGATTTGAGGCTGGAACTTTGCACAGAGCCACATCTAGAAGGTTCACAATCACCTAGGGGGTGGACCATCCCAGAGCAGGTGAGGTAAGCAGAAAAGGGGTTTTAGCCAATACTGCCCTTTGAGAGGCAGGGGAGTCCTGGAGGCCACAAGCGCACTCAGGGCTTTCAGAATCTACCCTAAGAAAGTAGCTGCGACCCATTTCCTCAGCCCAAAAACAAGCATGGAGGGAATACAGTGTCAGGTCCTGCTGCAAAAGACAAGGTCTCATCACCGAAACAGGTGCTCCTTGCCAGTGAGACGCCGCAAGATATTCTGAAACAAAATCATGTTATAACAGCTCTAGGGATCTCTTCCTCTTTTTATAAAAAGACATTTCTGCCTTTGTTCCTCCTCCGTGCCTTAAATTGTTACTCTGAAAACGGTAAACTCCCACACACAGCACAGACCCAAGTGTCTGTTGGCCACCCAGCCTGAAAGAGCAGCCTTCTGTATTTGCTTCGTAACTTTGTTTCAAGAAACAAAATAGCACATAGTTGAAGTTTCCTTGGAGTCTCTCCTGGAGTCACACACCCACTTCCTGGCCCAGAGGCGACCTGAGCACCACCGCGGTTCCATCATTCCGTGCATTTCCTATTCACTGAGCACCCTTAGTCACTCAGGCTGTTTTGTATTTCAGTCTATACAGATGGAGTGGTATCATACATACATAAAGGCTGGCAACTTTTTTTTCTGTCTGCCTTTAGAAGTTTTAGATCAATTACTGTGAAAGCATTGGGCTCTAATCCACCTTAAGCTTATTAGAGGACAGGCTGTCTATGACTATATTCTCCAACCTATCCCGGCTAATGGGGCCTTTCATGGTTACCAACACTGTGGCACTAACCTCCTCACGGAGTCTCCTTGTGATACGCCTGAGTTTCTTTAAAGTAAGTTTATAAAAGGAGAAATTCTGGGTACATGTGGTATGTACTTCTAATGGTCCCAGACATCATTTGCTGCCTTCCAAAACACACCTCTCAGTCTGTACCCCACGAGCAGCCCCTGCCCTATACACCCATAAGACCCAACAACATTACTGTCAAACCTGTCGATTTTCATCAAGATGACACTACATACTGCTATCTTTTTGTTGACTTGAACAGTCCCTAATTTGCATTTCCCTGATCATTACTAAACACACTTTCCCATCAGGGGACAGTTGAGGTTTCTCTTTTATAAAATTTCTTGTCCAGAGTCTTTGCATGTTTTCTTTCTTCTGTCAGGTTATCAATCTTAATTTTTTTTTTTAAGATTTTATTTATTTGTCAGAGAGAGAGAGCGGATTTGGGGGGGGGGGCACAGAGGGAGAAGCAGACTCCCCACTGAAAAAGGATCCCAATGCAGGACTCGATCCCAGGACCCTGGTTTCAGGACCTGATCCAAAGGCAGACTCTTAACCAACTAAGCCACCCAGGCACCTTAATCTTTCTCTTACGATTTCTAGATCTTTCTGTATTTCCATGACCAGTCCGTTGTTATCTGTGCCACAAGTGTCTCCTGATTTGTTGGCTGCACGTCGAGTTCTAAAATGCCAACAGAGAGGTTTTCTGATGTTTCTCCTGAAATAAGTGGGACTGTCCCAAAGTCAGAAGAGAATCACTGACACAGCTATAAGCTCTACAAACACCCATAAAGCCACAGTACACACATACCCACCTAACTGTGATGTGTGGGGAGCACTTTGTGTTTTTCAAGGCCTCTGTTAATCACCTAACTTCAGACTCACAAAAACACAGGCTATCAGGGCCTCATGTTCTCATTTGTACAATTCAGGACTTGATTATTAATGCCCTTTAAATGATCAGATTCTGACCTTTCCTCCCTGCACCGTGGCTGGGAAGATCCGGGCTCAGAGGAGCAGAGAAACATATCTACGGTCAGGTTGCAGGTGGGATCCACGTCGGTTACAGCTCGGTAAGGCTGACAGAGAAAAGCTACAGGAGGCCCTAAAGTCCTAGTCACTGATATCAGCACCAGGACACAGAGAAGCAGGAAGACAGGAATCTGGGAGAAGGCCAGGGCCCCATCAGTGCGTCTGCTTCCAACAAAAGGGCTGTGTGAACGTCAGGATGGACTCTATGAAACAATTTTTATTGAGCAGTGAGTGTGGGGACAGACTCTGCACTCTAGTCCACGGGAGAAAGCGCATCAGCATTCATGGCTAGAGGCCAGTTTGTTACACAGATGGATGGGCAGAACCCAGTGATTTTTTCATTGCTGTTGTTGTTAGTAAGTGCAAAACACCCATCCTCCCCGAACTCGGATCTCACATGGCACTGGAAGGGGAGTGACCTATTCTCAGCGCTCAGCGAGGCACCACCTTTACAATGCGCCAATGTCATTTTCAAGCCAGAAAATGCCCACTGGCCACCACCGTGAAACTCTCCCCAGATCTGCGGCCCCACCAAGGAACCTCAAGGAGACGAGACGCACCCACACCTGGCTTCCCCAGTGCAGCCTCTTTCTGCCCCACACACTCCCCTAGGAGCAGCTCAGGACACTGGTGGCTTCGGGCACGACTCCCAGCCACATTTCCCAGTGGTGCCTTCCCCATGTCCCCAGAAACCAAATACACCTGAATGAATTATGCAAACGTCCTCTAGTTGAACTGCCTGGTTTTTGCGTTTTTAAATCAGGAGAAAGAATCTGACACAGAGGCCATGTGACTGTACTACTGAAAGGTTTGTCTCATGGCCGAGAGCGTAGAGCTCATGTCTCTGTTACTATGCGAACAAGCCGGAAAACGTTTTCTTCCCCTGCCTTGGGGAAAGAGTCTGATTCCTACGCAGCTCAGCACTCGGACAGTCCCAGCATCACAGACGTCCCTAAGTACCTACAAAAGGCACGAGTCAGTGGCTGGTCATCCAGGGAGCCGGCAATCTCCCTGTCCTACCAATTTCAGAGCTTCGGGGAGTGAGTGCACTTTAGGGTAAGGAGAGAATCCATTCATCCAGAGGAGCGGTCCTCCCTAGAGGGGGTCCTAACGGTCCTTCACGTTGGAAGCTTCTCCCGGAATACGCGTGGACACTCCTTCACGTCCTCTGGGGTGCTGCAGACCTGTTAACAAAACCTCAGTGCGGCAGCCTGTGTCTGCTCTAATACAAGATTGTATCCCCAACATAAACTTCTTCAGAGCTGAGGCATGGAGAGTTCCTGTGCTAGGTGTGGGGAGTAATCTGCCCAAGGCTTCCCCGACCAAGACCCCTGCAAAGCCCCCTGAGTATCAGGTCTGCCTGGGCAAAGGGGAACCTTGGAGAGTGCCAAGCACAACTCCAGAAAAAAGCGTCCAAGTAGCAGGATGTCATCAAAGCAGCTGTCCCCAGCCACACGGTCAGGACCTGACCTTTGCAGCACAGGGTCCTTCCTCCCTTCGGACACCCAGGACCGCACTAGTGCCGAAGGTGCCCCGGGCTTCGGGCGGCAGGGCCCTGGACCCTCAGCCCCGCATGGCCTTCTCCTGTGCTCCCAGAAGAGTCCTTCCTGAGAGTCCCCCTGAGGAAGGTCAGTGAAAGGAGAACACCAGATGGCTGGGACCGAGGAGAGAGCGGAATTCCAGGCGAGCCAGCACAGGGCCATGCTCCCTACAGAAGCTGAGGCCGGGCCTTCCCCGGGCCTTGGAAGTATCCTCGGCGAGTGTGCAGAGGAGACAGAGCAGGGCAGTCGGCCGGGACGCGGGGAACGCTGTTCTGGCTGCAGCAGTCGGGCGGCTACAGACATGGCCAGTCCTTGTGGCCCAGCCGCTAGGCTCGGCAAGGCTGGCAGCCGGGGGACCCCCAACCCCGGCCCCCCGGCCGGCTCCTGCCTCCCAGGCCTGCGGCTCAGTTGTAGGAAAGGTAGTCGATGAGCCGGGGAGGGATGTTCAACTTGGTGATCTTCTCCAGGCCTCCGACGCCAGTGGCCCTCCTCAGGCTCACCCGGCAGAGCTGCGACAGGGTCAGAGGTGTTTCTGGAAGAGAGGAAACAGGAATCCCGCGTGGTGAGCAGAAGGAAGGAGCAACACCACCCTCCCCCTCAGGAAATGCCAGGGCAGACCTTGAAAGCTCCCCCTCCCCTCGGGCTAGGATGGGGCCTGCGTGCCTTCCGGGAAGGCTACCAGGAGGGACGCCAAGGACCCCCGAAGGAAGATCAGGAAATGGAATTTGGGTAGCGTCCACTGGGATTTCATTCTGTGAGGTTCTGGGGAGGCTTTTCTTTACCCCTTTTCTGTAATGTTAGAACTTGGCACCCAGATTCGTCAGCAAAGGACTGCTCTGTGGCTAGCAGGCTCATTCCTCAAACTTCCAGACAGATGAGGGATGGGGTGAGGGCCAGCGCCGGGCAGGTCCCAGGCCACAGGCCCTGCTCTCACCGCCCGAGCCGCGGGGCAGAGAGGGACTCGGGGACAACACGCACACACCACAGAACGGCTCTGACAGACACAGCTTGGCTCACAGGCTGAGGGTCAGGACCTCGGGACGAAAGGAGAAGCCTGCAGCCGGGGCTCGGGAGGGCGAGCACACCGGGGCCAACAACGGAAGGTCCCTGGGGGCCCCGGCCACCAAAGCACCTGCGTAACAGAGTCGGCTTTTACAATGATTCGATCCTTTAAAATCCCACATATGCTGCAAACATCTGCTTGATAAAAATACAAATTCGCCAAACACAGTATTCTCGACTAATGAAGATTTATGAAATAAAAAATTCTTTGAGAGGAAAAAAAAAAGAAATCCTGGAGAAATTCATTTTCCCCCGTTACTTCATGCCCCCAGTTATTTGGAACAGGAAAAGAAATACCCTCCAGGACATGTTTGACACATATGGATGGTGTCTGCCTCTAAGTTCAGACGGATTTCGGTTGGGTGGGGCCAGCAAACATGTGAGTAAATTGGGTTTTTTTTTCCCCCAACTGAGAGGCGTCTTTAAGACTCTTGTGGTGGTAAGGCAGTATAAAATCATTTGAAAATCTGTACCCATGGGGCGCCTGGGTGGCTCAGTGGGTTAAAGCCTCTGCCTTCGTCTCAGGTCATGATCCCAGGGTCCCGGGATCGAGCCCTGCCTCGGGCTCTCTGCTCAGTGGGGAGCCTGCTTCCCCCTCTCTCTCTGCCTGCCTCTCTGCCTACTTGTGGTCTCTGCCTGTCAAATGAATAAATAAAATCTTAAAAAAAAAAAAAAATCTGTACCCAGGGGCACCTGGGTGGCTCAGTCGGTTAAGTGTCTGCTTTTGGCTCAGATCATGGTCCCAGGGGCCTGGGATCAAGCCCCACTTCGGGTTCCCCTTCTCCCTCTCCCTCTGCCTGCCACTCCCCCTGCTGGGCACTCCCTCTCTCTTTCTCAAATAAATGAATAAAATCTTTTAAAAAAGAATCTGCACCCAAAGAAGTCTGGTCCTCAGCCAGATCCTTTGTCCTTGTCTCCTGGAGGGTGGGGGTGGCTCATAGGGGCCCAGGATGGCTGGCTTGCTCGGACATGACTGGACAGACTGTCGGAGCATCCTGCAGGCTACCCCGTGCCGTGCGAACCCAACCAAGCACATCCACGTGACAGGGACGGCGCGGCCTCACTTTCATAGAACTCCAGGCACTTGGCCGGCGCGCTGCTGCTCCACGTGTAGTCGGACGGCTTCTTCCCCCGGTTGTCCCGTGCGTAGATGTTGCCTCCAAACTCAACGAGCATCTCGATGAGGTCAACGTTCTTCACCTTGGCTGCGTGATGCAGGGCGGTCTCGTGAAGCTTCGCTGCGTTCACGTTGGCCCCTGCCGGTCCAGAGCGGAGAACGATTATCACAAGCGGAGGCCGAGAAGCCAGCAGAAAGGTCGGGTAGTACTTTCTCACTCCACACAGTGTCCAAAAGCAATGCCCCAGCCAGGAAAGAAAGTCAAGACTGATTCTCTACGGCCTTTTCAGGATCTTTTTCAAGATCCCAAAGCAGTAATCATTTTTTTTTTTTTTCTGCTGGTAGGAGAGCTACAGACCAACAGCTGTAGGAAAGTGAGAGAACTGGAAATGGAAACTGGAAATGGAAACAGAAAGAAGAAAAAGAAAACAGAAAACTTGCCTGTGGGTTAATAGGCAGTTCTACGACCCCATACAGGCTGTGCCCATGGATCCTGAGGCTCTGAGAGCTCGGGGGAAGCTACAGAAACTTCCCTGCTGTTCCCGCTCCCGTGCACACTGTTCCTGCTTGCATGAGCACATGCACGGCAGGTGCAGGACAGAGGCTCTGGAAAGCTGTGCTGCAGGAAGGAAGGAATACTTCCTAGTAAATATGCTTTCACAAAAGAGAAGCTCAAAGGAAACACAGGTCATGTTCCCCAAACATCTTCCACAGTTCAAGTAAGAGATGAGGTGTCTCGTAAGCTCTGCCACCCACCTGCTCTCAGGATAGTGGTAGACATTCAGAGGGGCGCCTGGGGGGCTCAGGCGGTTAAGTGTCCGCCTCCACCTCAGGTCATGATCTCGGGGTCTGGGGATCGAGCCGCACATTGCGGTGGGGGGGTGTCCTTGCTCAGTGGGTAGCCTGCTTCTCCCTCTACCACTGCCCTTTTCCCTGTCTATGCTCTCTCTTTCTCTCTTTCAAATAAAATCTTTTAAAAAACAGTAGACTTTCAGAAAGAGGTGAACAAGTACTAATTATAATATTTTAGATGCATCAAAAAATATTTTGATGAAAACAGGATTTGTGTAAAACATCATTCATAGGACATGGCCATCACCAATTCTATGCAAGGGGATCTCCTGGACCCTCGGGATTTTTTTTTAAACCAACTTCTTTGAAGTCTGCTCCTAATGGATAAGGAAGTTATAAGAGAAGGGGGATAGGAGAAAAGTATCTTAAAGAAGTCAAGCAAATAGCCCAGCATTAATGAAGTTATGGCCCCAAAAAGAGATTCCAATCACAGTCATAAATATCAGCAATGTGGGGTTAGAGGAGGTCAGATCACCAAAATATCTCCATGTGATAAATTTGGAAGAAATAAAGGATGTAAGGGTATTAGAGTTCCTGTCCCACTGCTCAAAAATATTTGGAAATTCTGGTTTCTGACTTAAAAGGGTTTCTTTTTAAAGATTTTATTTATTTATTTGAGGCAGAGAGAGAACTCAAAGCTGCACAAGTTGGTGGAAGGGAAGAGGGACAAGCAGGCTCCCCACTAAGCTCAACAGGGGCTCACTCCTAGGACCCAGGGGGCCATGACCTGGGCTGAAGACCAATGCTTAACCAACTGGGCCACCCAGGAACCCATGACTTAGAACAGTTCTAATCCCCTAGTAGAACCTAAAAACTACATCCATAACAGCCATCACTGCCTGATCCTAAGAACACAGCAACCACCCCAACAAGATAATACAAGCCCAGAAAAGTTCTCTGCCCAACTCCCAAGTCAGGTCAAGGCAAAAAAAAAATCCCTCAGGAAGAAAGCTACATTACCTAAGTATTTAATTCCGCAGATACGCACTGCAAAAATAATGCTGAAAGGCAATCTTTGAAGAACCATCCCCCCATAACCCTCCTGCACTGTTGGGGGGCATGCAAGCTGGTGCAGCCACTCTGGAAAACAGCATGGAGATTCCTCAGAAAGTTGAAAATAAAGCTATCCTATGACCCAGCAATGGCACTACTGGGTATTTACCCTAAAGATACAAACGCAGTGATCCGAAGGGGCACGTGCACCCAATGTTCATAGCAACAATGTCCACAATAGCCAAACTATGGAAAGAACTTAGATGTCCATTAGCAGATGAATGGATAAAGAAGATGTGGTATATATACACGATGGAACACTATGCAGCCATCAAAAAAAATGAAATCTTGCCATTTGTGATGACGTGGATGGAACTAGACGGTATTATGCTTAGCGAAATAAATCAATCAAAGAAAGACAATTATCATATGATCTCTCTGATATGAGGAAGTGGGGCTGCAACGTGGGGGGTTTGGGGGTAGGAAAAGAATAAATGAAACAAGATGGGATCGGGAGGGAAACAAATCTTAAGAGACTCTTAATCTCACAAAACAAACTGAGGGTTGCTGGGGGGAGGGGGGTTGGGAGAGGGGGGTGGGGTTATGGACATTGGGGAGGGTGTGTGCTGTGGTGAGTGCTGTGAAGTGTGTAAATCTGGCGATTCACAGACCTGTACCCCTGGGGCTAATAATATATGTTAATTAAAAAATAAAATAAATTTAAAAAAAGAACCTCTCCCCATGAAACCCCAACATGCTGGGGGGCGCTCTTCCAACAGCCACCTGGAAGAATAAGGAATTCTACAGCTGCAGTCATAAAGCAAATAGGAGCATGAATGCTAGCCGCAAACTGGTGACGAAAAGTAAACTGTAAAGTGTACAGACTGTGAAATGCAGGAGCTGTCGCAGGTCATTAATTGTGGCAATGATCTTGCCAGGCGGGATGGGAAGAGACTGTCTCTGTTTAGCAAGAAAGACGGGGCCACAGGCGGTCAAGGAGAAAGCTAGTGGTAGGAATAGCTCTCGGACTCACACTCCCCTTGCTTTTTAGGCTACAAAACCACCGCATAGTGATTCTTTCCACAAGGTGGCATCCCAAGGTACAAAACAGGCTGTTTTTACTGCTCTGGGCTCCTTTGGACTGGGGGTGACACAGAAGGGAGATCAGGAGGGGACACTGGCATGCGCTGCAGCTGGGCGAACCACAGACCTGGGCACACACAGTACAAACAGCAAAGAAGGCAGAGTCTGGAACACAGCACCGTCTGTTACAAATACGTGACTCAACCCTCCTGGTGTAGCTTACAAAACACAGAGAAAGGAAGCGAACACACATTAAAATGGGGGCTGGGGGGCAGGGACAGAGGAAAGAAAAAAGGGTGAGAAGGTGGTTTTGTGGGGACTGATGATGATGTGCCTGAAACTAGGGTGGGGAGAGGAAGAGGGACTGTAGGGGAGAGGAAGGAAGAGATGGGGGGGGACAGGGGAAATAGGAGAGAAGGGGAGAGGGAGGAGGAGGGAGAGAGAGAGAGGGAGTGCAGGAGGGAGGGAGTGAAGGAGGGAGGGAAGGGATGGAGAAAGCGGGGAGGAGGAGAGAGGAAGCCAAGCAAAACAACCAAAGGCATCGTTGGGGCATTAAAAATTCTCAACCTCAATCTTCAGGGAAAAGAGGGTCAAAGTCTGATTTCTGATTTCAAAGCACGACCAGACCACAGCGGACTCAGAGTAAAGCCTTATGCACGCGCAGACCAGGGCCGGCTACACGCGCCAGGAAGCGGGACCACCCGGGGCACCGGCCGCAGAGCAGGTGCGCAGCACCGTCCCCCGCTCCTCTGCGGTCCCTGCTCCTCTGCGCGCTCCCTGCGGCGGCTACAGTCTCTGCGGCTCCGCACCAGACCCTGCGCCTCCGTGCCCACCCCGGCGTCTGAGGCTTCCCGTGGATTTTCCAAGGGCTCTTCGACCCACCCCACCATGTGAAGAATCACTACTTTCGTTAGAGCCCACATGCTGCCCTCTTCTCTCTCCTTTCCGGTGTGCCGTCTCCCGCGGCTGAAAACCGTCCCTGTGCTCTAGGAAGGAGGAGCTGTCAAAGGCGACCATCTAAACCTACAACAGTCAAGCCCAGGGCCACCGGCCTGGTGGTGACGGTCACCACTGCTGTGTGTGGGAGCCTTCCCCAGGGCACCCCATTCTGTCCCTCACTCCATGCCCCAGGTGTTGGAAAGGTTCCGGTTGCCTTCCCAGACTGACCAGCCCGCGCCACTGAGCCCACACCTTGGAATTTGCGGGGAGGGTGGCTGCTAGGGCAGGGGGACCGCCTGGCCTCTAACCCCGGGAATGGGCCCTGACTGGTTAATCCCTCTCCCCACCCCCAGGAATTGGTTCAAATAACCTGGGCCTGAGCCAATCAGAATGTGCCGAGCCTGGACAAAGAGACTAGGTTGGGTTCAGAACCAGGACCCAATGTGGGTTCCTGAGATTTAAGGGGAAATGTGTGGGAGACAGCTGGAGAAGCTGTTTCTCAGTCTTAGAGAAAACTACCCGAAGCCTCGGGAAGAAAAGTGGATTTGAGCTGACCCTGATGCTGTCATTTTCAGCCCATTAGGGACGCCAGGCATAGGATCAAGCCAGCAGAGTGGACAGCAGACCTGCAAGATTCAGAGACATGGCAGCTTGAGGATGCAGACAACCCTTGGGGCAAAGTGACCCTGACACCTGCCTCCTCCTGATCCTTTCGGTCTCCTGGACCAAGACTTCCCTTCGGCCCCTGCACGTGGCTGCTTACAGGAGTAACTGGCTCCATAAAGTCCTGATTGCTACAGACGGGTGCTGGGGTTCAGGGCCCTGACTCGATGCTCTCCCCTCCAGCCACCACTAAAGGAACTAAAGAAAGGGCACCAGGTGTCCTGACCGCATGCACAGCAGGCGCTCTGGGGACAGCTGCTGACGGTAACGTGGCCATTTCAGCTCAGCAGTCACGGCAGCTAATAACCCTCGGTTGACCGCAAAGCGGAGTGACTGGCTGGAAGGCCTCAGACTACTCCTCGTGCAGACGGTTTATCGTTGTGTAAGAAGGAAAACCACCCCAATGGCTAACCTGACACAAAATGAGTCTTTTTCCCTAAAAACACGTAAAAGTGGCTCATGAAAGCGAACCAGACTCCGGAACAGAAAAGCACATGTAACTTAAGCTCAAATGACTGTCGTCCGGAGAGAGCACGTCATCGTTCTATTTCTGACCAGTTTTGTGTTTTATCCTAAGTTGCACCCAGAATGGCTGAGCTAAAATTTTCCAACAAAATATTTACATTGGGTTCATAACGAAAGCTCCCTGCCAGCACCCACTTTGGCTATGTTTTCAAAACTGCCATGGTAAACAGGTCCTGAATCCAACCTTCACTGGACCGGGCTGTGCTTTATTTCGTTTTTTGTTTTTTGCCTTGAGAAACCCCCATCCTGAGCCTGAACAAGGACCCGGATTCCAAATGTGCTGCCTGCTCCTTTCCCACGAAGCCCCCCACCTCTTTCTGATTTAGATGCAAACTCATCAGGCAGGCACAGTGGCTGGTCCCCTGCCCACTCAAAATAAGGACTGGCCTTTATCGAGCAGCAGATCCTACGGAAACGTGAGTACAAGTCCTTCCAGCAACCCCGCAAAACGGGATTTATTCTTTCCAGCTTTATAGATACAGACACGGAGGCCCACGGTCTCAGCTGTACAGGTGGGAGAGCCACTTTCCAAGCTGCTCTGATTCCACTGCCCCGCTCATGGGCGGCACACGGAGCAGGTAACCAAAACACCTGCATCAAGTCACGCAGGTATAAACACCAGCACGCCTGCCCCAGCAGCGCAGGGAGAAACAGGACACACTCACCCTGAGCAGCGCAGGAGAAAGGCCGGCCTACCTGCGTTAAGCAGCATTTTGACGCAGTCCAGATGCTCCCGGGCACAGGCCACATGAAGAGGGGTCCCGAAATGGCAGTCATGCGCCTCCAGGTTGGCCCCGACGTCAATAAGCAGCCTCACGCACTCAGAACTTCCTTCAAACGCATGGGAAAGGACGGGAACCATGAATGAATGTGTGCATTTGCTGTCAGCCCAAGGGAGCCGCAGCTGGACAGGTAAGCCCCGAGCCTGGCTACAGGGGGAGGAAGGGGGCACCAGGGCTGTGGCTCAACCAAACACCATTCACAATCCCGTGTGGCCCCAGGGGCCAAAGAAGGTCCCTTCGGGGCCTGCAGGGTTTACCGAGGCTGCCAGGCAGCGGACCAGGGGGAGAGGGCACAGCGGACCGTCTTGGGGGAGAGCCTGCGATACCACCCTGAACCGCCGGACTCGGCTCCACGGCAGCTAGGAAAAAGCTCCCCACCTCCGGCTGCCTCCTGAGCTGTGTGCGGGCGGCGAGCCTGGGCGTGAGCTTCCGAAGCGGCCAGCCCGAGGCCACGGCTCCTGGATGGACCTCCCTAAGCCTCCCTACCTCGTAGGTCCCCTGCCCTTGTCCCCGCCGGGGCTTCTCCTGCCTCTTCCCCAGCATCTCCAACTCGGTTTGCGTGGGGGTCCATTCTGCCCCAGGCTGCATCCTCCCTCCTCACTGACTCCTGCTCCGTCACTGGCAGCTCCAGCCCTCTGCCCGGCACGCTCTTGGGGATGTCCTGACCGCGGCACAGTCCTCTCCCTCCCCTCCTGGGGGCCCCTGTGCCTGGCCGGTCCGTCTCGTCATCAGCATCGCTCCTGAGTCGGCTCTGACCCTGTGCCCTGCTCTCCCTCGTACTATAAACCCTGCCGATCCTTCTCCCAAGCCTTCTAAGTGAATCCGTCCCCCTTGGGCTCCCAGGGCCTTGCACTCCCGGCTCCCCTCTCCATGTCAGGACTCGCCCACCCCTTCATGCCTCTACCGAGGAGCAGCAGATGTGCCACCCCAAACTACGCTACTTTAGCTGAAGGATCATTCTGAGTTTGAGGCAATTAAGCAGATACAAGACCAGCTCTCCCCACTCCCCCATCTGCCCGAGAGCGGAACATAAATTTATAAAGGTGTCCCTTTTGCCCTCCACGCGGAAGGACAAATCAATGACCAGAAACAATCCAGACATGTATCAGCCCAGAGAGAGCCTCAGAGAGTGCATATGACAGTGGGTAGGTAACACCGAAGCAGGAGATGGCTCCTGTCCCAGCCGTGATTCTGCAAAGTGGGGATTTCAGGCCACATGCAGAGAGACGCAGGTGTGAAATGGCAGGGGGCACTGCGCAGCTCTAGGTGGGACTGGGGGACGGGGTGGTGTGGGGCAGCGGTGGGAGAAGGCGGGGAGAGCTCCTGAGTGAGACCCAGGCCGCCACCCCCTCACAGGCCGGGCCGAAGACTCTGGTTTCCACCCTGTGGTCCCCCAAGGACTTGGAGGAGTGACTGGACCAACGGCATGATCACACGTAGTGTCGCGGGTTCCATAAAGTGTCCTTGGAACTGTACGATGGTCCTTTGACCTGGATGGCAGTGGCATGGTCTCAGCACTAGGTCCGGGTGACAAAAGCCGACCTCATTGGGCAGCCGGGTGGGAAGCCACAGAGGACAGTGGCTCCGTGAAGAGCCGTGGAAGAGCACGCCCCACCCCCACAGCCCCACACCCCACCCCCCGTAACCAAGACCAGCACGGAGCCTGCCGATCCAAATACCGGCCAGGAGCTCACAACCTTCGCTCAGAAGAGTAGAATCCAAACTCCGGAGTCTGTCATTTAATGAGTTCCCACCCGCCGGTGTTGCCCTAAATTTCCAGTCTTCTCTGTTGACCCTCCACTGGGAACTTCCGGCCCAGTAAGCCTGGACGAGTCACCTTCTCTGTGCACGGAGTGGCCTTCCTCTTACCCTCCATTGAAACCTATCCATTCCGCGGGGCAGATGAAATCCCACCTGTTCCGAGCCTCCAGGGTGCACCTCCTCCCCCCCCGCCAGCACCTGTCCTCTGGCGTATGTTGGGTCTCCTCGCCCAACCAGAACAGGGAGCCACAGGGCAAAAGGCTGGGGAGACAGAGGAGGCATGGCAGGGGGAGGGACTTGCAGTGTTAACATCTGAAAGGCACTGGAGGGCACCCTGAGAAACAGAACCCCGCCCTGGAAACCACGGCCCCCCCAACTCCTGGGTGAAAACCATCTTCAGGAGAAAACGTGGAGGTTCTGACAGCCGGGCAACCCCCGACCAGGAGCCAGAAGCAGTCTGGGCACACTCCTTAGCCAACCTGTGACTTCCCGTCTACACTGCTTGCTCACGTGGACTCACCGCTCATGCAGGCCTCGTGCAGCGGGGATGCCGTGTACAGGGGTGGGTTGACCTTGGCCCCGTAGGCGAGCAGGAGCTTCACGCACTCGACACTACCTGAGGCACAGGCATCGCACAGGGGCGTGCTGCCATCGATGTTGCGGGCATCCACCTGGTGGGAGGGAGAAAGGAGCGGGGAGCGTCAGGGTGGGCATCAGGGCAGAGGGGAAGCCCACGGGACCCGCTCTCTCCCCCGATGCACATTCATCTTTGCAAAGGCCCTTGTTGGGAGCACCAGCGTCCGAGTGTGCGCTAAGATACTGCGCCAGGCAAGGGCGTTCAAAGACAAAGGAACGGGGGTCAGGAGTGCCCGTCAGCCTGCCAAGCGTGGGAGGCGTCCTCTTCGAGGCTCTTCTCTCGGGACAGACTCAATTCTGCTTCCCTCTTGCCACCTGCCCCCTGCCCCAGACTGCAAGCTAAGGACGCAGGAGGAGAGTGAGTCCGAACTCCTGCTCAGAGTGCCGGCTGCTTCACGAGGCCCCTCCAGCCAGAACACCATCGGGAAGGAAGGCGACTCCATCAGCCGGCAGGGTCTGTCTAGAACTCCGCTGTTATTCGGGGACACACTACACTGTGTTCCGGTTCCTCGGGGGCCACCATCAGAGGTGAGACTCTGGGGAGCTGGTGTGGCGGTGGGACCGGTGCGGCTCAGGACGCACACTGGGGCCCGGGTTCAAGCAGCTGCCGGTTGTAGGTGTCCAGTCGGCCCCTCCCAGTGCCCCGCAGCCCCCTGCTCCGCCAGCCAGACACAACCGGCTCCCGGCGCGCCCTGGCAGGAGTGTTTACACAGGGAGAAACAAACCCGAGCCTTGTGTTCTGGGCCAGCCCACCCCTACCTTCCATAGAGAGCAGCAACCCACTCAGTTATCTGAGACCACAACCTTGCTCCCGGACCCAAGCAGCAGCTCCTGGGCCTGTGTGATGTGCAGGCCTGCTCCTGCCCCCGCATCCATGCAAAGCAACCCCCCTGCCTCTCCCTGCCTACGACTGCCTCTCTCTGGCCACCAGTATGTTCCTGAAGCCGAGCCATGACCACACTGGGCCTCAGCGTGCCACGGACCTAGAGAAGGCCCCTGCTGGCTTCCTCCTTCCCGTCCAGGGGTTTTTCTCCTTTCTGTGCATTTGCACAGCACAAGGCTAATCCCGGGCCTTGTCTTTCTTTTCCCTCCCTCCCTAGGTTCTGGGGAGCAGGTGCCATCCCTCCCATCTCGGGGCTCTGTCCCACAAGCCCTCACCTGGGCCCCAGCAGCCAGCAGCAGCTGCACACACTGCGCCTGGCCCTGCAGACTGGCCGCGTGCAGGGGCGTGATGGAGTCCACCGTGACCTGGTTGACACACGCGCCACTCTCGATCAGCCGCTGCAGCTGGAGGGTCTCGCCGCGCTGGGCCGCCTCGTGCACGGGGGTGCGCTCCACCCAGAAACCTGCGCGGGAGAGCACACGAGCGCTGGGGCCGCACCACCGCCTCAAGGGCCAGAGAACCCCATGCAACCCCAAGGACCCTTACGAAACCCAAGACACGTGTGATCAGAGTTGGTCCAAACACCCCCAGACTCCCTGGGGGATGGGCGCCGGGGCGGTTCAGCCAGTTGAGTGTCTGACTCACCCCGTGAGTTATCTAAGCCAATCATAGGAACCCTGGTCCCTGCTGCACAGCTGACCCAACTGTAGCTCCCAGGAAGGGAGGGGGAGACTGGCAGTGGTTTCACAGCTTCAAAACTCCCCTCTCCCCCAAGGACTTCCAGAAGACCCTCTCCCTTCTTCACCTCCATGCGGCCTGGACCCAAACACAGTGGTGCTGGAGCCATCCAGCTGCCTCCTGAGCCTGCACGAGCAGTGGGACGGAGTGCCGGAGCCTTGAACGTGGTGAGTCTGGGGTCACAGGGAGCCTGGTGCCCTGCTGCCCACTGGCCTCCCTACTATGTGGGAATGAGGGTTCCCGTCTGGGCCAAGTGCAGACAAAAAGGCACTAACTAGCTGAGACCGTGAACCACCTGAAAGCACCCACTATAGCTGTGTTTCCTCAGTGTCCATAACCCAGGGTACAGTGGCATCTTCTAGACACTCAGCTTTAAAAAAAAAAAAAAAAAGTGCTAAATGACCATGCTGGGTTAATACCGACCTATTCTGACCGTCACACCACTTCAAAAGACGAGATCACATCACATACCTCTTCATGATAGCAGTTTCCACTCCTTACACTGCACATCTTATCACTACATTCCCCTAGAACAGCTTTTTTTTTTAATTTAATTTTTTCAGTGTTCCAAGATTCACTGTTTATGCACAACACCTAGTGCTCCATGCAGTCCGTGCCCTCCATAATACCACCACCAGACTCTCCCAAGCCCCCACCCTTCTCCCCTCCAAAACCCTCAGTTTGTTTCTCAGAGTCCACAGTCTCTCATGGTTCGTCTCCCCCTCCGATTTCCCCCAACTCACTTCTCCTCTCCTTCTCCCCATGTCACAAAATAGACAAGCCAAGCTTGTGGGACTTTCTACTCCCTCAAGAAAGGGACCCAGGATGTTTGCTTCCCCCATGGTAATGACCAGTCACTGGCACGCCTGTCTTGGAGGCTAGTAAAAAGCAGCTACCACCGTAAAGTCGGTCTGGAAGAAGCCAAACCCGCGGGCAGGGTGAGGGGTTGCAACCCCACGAAGGTGAAAGCAGGGTGGGGGCCCCCAGTGTTGCAGCAGGACGGGGCTGCAGCTCAGGAAGGCGAGGGGGGCCTTCGATTTCTTGCACTTCGCAGGTAATTCGGTTTTTTGTTTTTTTAATTTTTTTATTTTTTTTTACACATTGAAGGCCTGTGGCAATCCTGTGTTGCAATTTTTCCAACCGTTTTTACCTCACTTTGTGCCTGTCACACTTCGGTCATTGCTACAGTATTTCACACTTGATTACCTTTGTTGTCGTGACCTGCGATCCATAACCTTTGATGTTACTTACCTGTCTGGGGATGCCCCAAACCATGCTCATAGGAGACGGGGAGCTTAATCGACAAATGTGGGTGTCCTGACTTCCCCAGCCAACTGTTCCCCCGTCCCCCTCTTGTCAGGCCTCCCTATTCCCTAAGACCAAACAGTGAAATTAAGACCAACTAATAACCCCACACCGGCCTCTCTGTTCAAGTGAAAGGAAGGGTCCCATGTCTCTCGCTTTAAATCAAAAGCTAGAAATGAGGGGCCCCTGGGTGGCTCAGGCAGTTAAACTCCTGACTCTTAATTTCAGCTCAGGTCATGCATGGTCTCAGGGTCATGAGACGGAGCCCCACGTTGGGCTCTGCACCCCGCAGGGAGGCTGCTTGAGATACTCTCTCGTCTCCCTTCCTCCCAACTCACACACATGCACTGGCACTCTCTCTAAAATAAATCTTCAAAAAAATGTTTTTAAAAACAACGAGAAATGATTAAGCTCAGGAATGGGGGCATGTGGAAAGCTAAGACAGGCTGAAAGCTAAGTCTCTTGCACCAAACAGCCAAGTTGTGGATGCAAAGAAAAAGTTCTTGAAGAAAATGGGAAGTGCTACTCCAGTGAACACACGAAGGATAAGACAATGAAACAGCCTTACTGCTGATGTGGAGAAAGTTTAGGTGGTTTGAACAGAAGATCAAAACAGCCACAGCATCGCCTTGAGCCAAAACCCAATCTAGGGCGAGGCCCTACCTCTCTTTAGTTCCATGGAAGGTGAGAGGCGAGGAAGCTGTAAAAGAAAGACAGAAGCTAGAAGGCTGGTTTGTGAGTTTTAAGAAAAGAAGCCATCTCCAAATCATAAAAATGCCAAGTGAAGTGGCATGTGGTCCAGAAGATCTAGCTGAGAAAACGAACCAGGGTGACTACAGCAAATATTATCAATGCAGATGAAACGGGTTTCTACGGGACGAAGATGCCATCTAGGACTTTCATAGCTAGAGAGGAGAAGTCAGAGCATGGCTTCAGGGGACAGACGGCTTCTCTGGTGAGGGGTTAATGAATCTGGGGACTTTAAGTTGAAGCCAGTGGTCACTGAACATTTCAAAAATCCTAAGCCCTTAGGAATTCTGCTAAATCAACTCTTCCCATGCTCTATAAATGAAACAACCAAGCCTAGGTGAGAAAGTATATGTTTACAACACAGTTTACAGAGTATTTTAAGCCCAGTCTTGAGACTTACTGCTGGGGGTGGTGGGGGTGGGGGGGGAAGCACTCAAGTAACCCTACAAATTGCTTAGAGATGAATGTATTTGATGGGACAGGTGTGAGCCTTTGAGCATAAAACAAGGAACCCAGAAAAAAATCCTCCTGGGTTTAACTTCAGCCTTGCTTTTTCTCGTTGTGTGAACTCAGTTGTACCTTTAAATCATCAGACATAGGGACCGACTGCAGCTCCCCCAGGACAGGTGACAAATGCTGGCACATAACCTAGCAGATCGAGGCTCTTACAGTGGTCCCAGAAACTCTCCTTTCCCTCTCCATCAGACCTTCTGATTACCCCAGACAGTAGTGAGCTGAGTTTGGAGTTCTTGGCCAAGAATGACTGAGAAAATTGGTTCATCTGGCTTAGAGCCCCCAAATCCTTAAGGAACCCTTTTGTCGTCTTCTGGCAGCCTCTCGAGTACAGATCTTGAGTATAGATCTTGAATATAGGATCACTTTTTCAATTTTGAAAATGGACCCTTACGTTGGGTCCATAACATCCTGTATTATGTTTGCAAAGTTATGAATACTGGATTCACTTAGGAGATGACTTGCCCTAAATTCTCTGCAGAGCCTTACAATATGGCCTCAATAAGTACAGTCTTTACCTCTCCGAGGTGTTCTATTAAAAAATGGAAAATGTAATGCTTGGAAGTATACTATGCATCTAGAATTTCAGATCAGAATGTTAAAATGGGTTACAGTTCCTACAGTGGGCCTCTGCTTCTGCTGGGATAGCAGGTCCCAGATCCAATACATTCAGCTGATTCATTGGCGTTGAGAATGAAAGTGTCAGGGTATATTTTTTAAGGGAAATAAAACAATGACAGTCAAAAATATCCATGAACCTCAGAAGGTGTAAATCCATTGTTGGAGTATGCTTTTCTCTTCCAGATTCCTTAAACTACACAAAAAGAAAACAAAAGCACTCAGAAGTAAATGCTCTGTTATTAAGCACTCTACATGAACAAAAATATGCCAACTAGTTTTGGCTGCCCTGGTTAGCTGTTCATTGCTTATTTAACTGAACCAAACACAGATCACACTGGTGGGGTCAAAGTCTTGTGCCTGCCTGGAGTGGAATGCCGGGTCAAACCAGATGCTTATTAAATGCCTTTGATCTGGTTGAAGGTGGCTGTTTTGCAAGACCAAACACCTGCCTTGCTAGGACTGTAACTCCTCACACTGGAAACTGACTCTTATGACTTCCCACGTTTATTGGCAATGCTGTTTTTACTAAGGTAAAGGTATTTTAGACAATTTTTTTCTCTCTCTCTTTTTTTTTTTCTTCTAGGTTTTCAAAGTGCGTTCTGGGCACATTTCATCTGCTGTAGTATTACTTCATTGGCAAAGATGTTTGCTCCCCCCAGGGAATGTCCTTTTGCCCTCGAATTCATTTTATTCTTCCGTAGCCCAGATGGTAAGCGAGATTCGGGGAAGAACCGAGATGGTTTTTTTCTTTTTCTTTTCTTTCTTTTTTTTTTTTTTTTTTTTAACACAGGGTGGCCTGTCGCAAGGGCATCTCCTCCTCCCGGAGCAGATGCCTTCTATGACAATTGGGTGTACCTGTAGGATGCTAATGACAGTGCGCCACGACCTTCTCACACCGGGCACCTCCCGGGTGGTCTGAGCTTGGCCATGACTATGCCCACCCCCTCCAGGCGTCTTGCCCAAGGTGCGCGGCGCGCGGGTGGGTCTGCAGTCGGGAAGTCCCACGACTGACGCGTCACGACCATGACTGGCTCCGCGACTCGCTGGCCGGGGTCGAGGAGCCGGACGCAGAGCGCGCCGGAGATGCTCGGGGATCCCCGAGGCTGCTCGGGAAAGGGAACCGCGGCGCTCCCGCCTCGGCCCACCAAAGCGCCCCGCCGGCGCCCCGGAGGCAGCGCGCATCACGATCGCCGGGCGCGCGTCCTCGGACGCACCTGTCCCGCCCAGGAGCAGCCCGGCGGCCCCTGCCTCCGGGCCCGGTCCGCGCCCGCACTCCCCGCACCCGCGCCCGCACCTACCCACGTCGCCCAGGAAGCAGCCGTCCGGCCCGCGGGCCTCCATGCCTCCCGCCCGCCCGCCGACGCGCGTCCGCACTCCGGCGACACCGGCGCCCGCGACCTGGGCGGAGCTCCGCGGGCTGGGCGGGCCGATGCGGGCGCGGCGCGGCCGGCCGAGGGGCCGCGGGAGTTGTAGTTCTTCCGCGGCCGGGCGCCCGGGACTCGGCCCGGAGCGCGGGGCTCCCGGCGGTGCCTCCCGCTGCTGTGTGGGCGGCGCTGCGGAGCTGCTCTGCTCTGGGTCCCGGAAGACCCGCCCCGCACTTTCCACCCGCGCCCTTCGGGGGGCGAGAGCAGAGCAGACGTGCCTTCCCCGGGCCCGCGGCGGGACGGAGGCACGGGTTTCCGCGTAAGTCCCGGTGGGCGGCTACGTAGTGAGCTGCGCTTTGCTTTGCTTGTGCAAAGCGGGTTGCACGGTTCGGCAAGTCTCACTTCGTCCAGGTTCCTTGTCGCCTCGGCGCGAGATCCCTCTCCCACCCCGACCGGGACGGAGCCTACGCGGAGACGTTAGTTTGGGCCGGAAAGTAACAATATCAGGACGTACCCGGTGCGGAAATACACGAGGACCCGTGGAGAGCAGAAGGGTTCTCTCTCCCCTGGACGACTCGAACCTTTTCCTCCCGCCCAGACCGCGAGCTTTGCGTGGAAAGGGAGTTTGAAGCTTGTCTGACCAAAGCCCCTGGGGAGTCCCAGCCCCGGACCTGCAAAGGACACTTCAAGCCTGTTTGCCGTGTGTTCGCCCCCTCACTGCCACTTGTTCCACAAAACTAGGCTCCTGCATTTTTCTTGTGAGTTTCTTGCATTCTATATTCAATGTACATTTTTTAAATCTAGTTGCTGTGGGATGTTATTTTTTTCTATAACAATGCCTTGACTCATAGATCGTATTTTCTTTGATTTTTCTTCCTTGACTAAAGCATCGTCTAGATCTTAGTACAGACTGTATATTTGTATATACCAGATATATTTGTAAACCACATATATTTATCCTGTATTTATGTCTCTACATAGACACGTATGTATTTCTTAAATATATTAGCAGATATTTCCTAATTAGCTTATTTTGTAAATTTTTTTCCATTCTGTTGCTTGATTGCAATATTGCAGAAAAGTTTTAGCTTTTCATATATATTCAGAAATATATACTCTGAGAGTGTTCCTTCTTTCTCCAACGGTCAGAATGTGTTTCCCCACCAAGAGCCAGAACATGTATGTAATTATTTTGTTCTGTTCTACTGTTAAGTCTTTAAGTCTGGAATTTGTTTTAATCTATAGGATGTAACTTAATTTTTGTCCAAGTTGAAATAAAGTTGTTCTGAAAACATCATTAACTAGTGATTTATTTTTGTGTTAATTTCCTTTTTTGCATTTCATTTGATTTTACTTTGCAGATTTTTTTTTTTTTTAACAAATTGAAGGTTTGTGTGTTGAGCAAGTCTATCTGTGCCATTTTTCCAACAGCATTTGCTCATTGTGTGTCTTGGTGTCACTTTTTGGTAATTTTTGCAGTTTTTCAAAGTTTTTCCATTATTTATGGTGATCTGTGATCAATAGTCTTCGATGTTACTGTTGTAACTGTTTGGGGGCACCATGAACCACACCCACATAAGACCTCAAACTTACTTGATAAATATTGCGTGTGCTCTGAGCGCTCCACGCACCAGCCACTCCCATCACTCTCCCGGTCCTCAGGCCTCTCTCTTCCCTGAGATGGAACAATGTTGAAATCAGGCCAATCAATAACACTACAATGGCATCTGTGTGTACAAGTGAAAGGAAGAGTCACCCACATCTCGCTTTAAATCAAAAGCTGGGGTGCCTGGGTCGCTCAATTGGTCTGCCTTTGGCTCAGTTCATGATCTCAGGATCCTGGGATCAAGCCCCACATCTGGCTCCCTGCTCAGCAGGGAGTTTTCTTCTCCCTCTCCCTCTGCCCCTCCAACCTGCTTGCGCTTGTACTGTCTCGCTCTCTCAAAATTAAAAACAAAAACCTAGATGGTCTGAAAGCTAGGCCTCTTGTACAAAACAATTAGCCAAGTGTGAATGCAGAGGCAAAGTTCTTGAAGAAAACTGAAAGTGCTAGTCCAGCAAACACACAAATGATAAGAAAGCAAACAGCCGTAATGTTGATCGTGAGGCTGTAGGGGTCTACATGGAAGAGCAAACCAGCCACACCACCTCCAGAAGCCCCAATGTCCTCCAGAGCAAGACTCCGACTCCGCAATTCCACGAAGGCTTGACATGTGAGGACGCTGCAGAAGAAAAACCGGCAGAGGTTTAAGGAAAGAACCCACTTCCCAAGCATAAAGGTGCCCCAGGGAAGCCACAGGCAGATGCTACAGCGAGTTCTCTGGAAGATCCAGCTAAGAAGACCAAGGGGTCTACCCAGGTTACCATGTAGGTGGAGCAGCCTTATACTGGAAGAAAATGCCACATCAAGAGACCGTTTTCGTGTTCTTCACATAAATACCCAGAAGTGGAGTTGCTGGATCATATGGGAGTTCTATTTTTTATGCTTTGAGGAACCTCCCTACTCATTTGCAGAGTGGCTGACTCAATAGTGCACAAGGATTCTGTTTTTCCACATCCTCACCAACGCTTGTTACTTCTTGTCTTTGATAATAGCTATTCTAACAGGCGTGAAGTGCAATTTCATTGTGGTTTTGATTTGCATTTCTCTGATGATTAATGATGTTGAGCACCTTTCCATGCACATATTGGCCGTCTGTACGCCATCTTTGGAAAAAGGACTATTCAGGTCCTCAGCCACTTTCATCACCTTGTTTGTTTGCTATTGAATTGTAGGAGTTCTTTATATATTTTGGATATTAACCCCTTATCAGATCTATGATCTACAAATATTTTATTCTCATCCAATACACTGCCTTTTTGTTTTGCTGATGGTTTCCCTTGCAGTGCAGAAGTTTTTCGTTTTGGAGTCGTTCCAATTATTTATTTTTGTTTTTGTTACCTTTGTGTTTGGTGTCAAAATAAAAAAAAAAAAATCACCAAGATCAATGACAAGTAACTTACAGCCTATGTTTTCTTCTTGCAGTTTTATGGTTTCAGATCTTACGTTCAAGTCTTTAATCCATTTATGAGTTGATTTTTGTGTATTTTATGAGTGGTCCAGTTTCCCCAGCACCATTTGTTGGAGAGACTGTCCGTTCCCCATGGTATATTCTTGACTCGTTAGTGGTAAATTAATTGGCCATACATGCACGGGCTTATTTCTGGGCATGCTATTCTGTTCCACTGATTTATGCATCTAGGTTTTTTTTTTCAATTCCAGTAGAGTTAACATACTGTGTTATACTGGTTTCACGTGTAGAATATAGTGATTCAGCAGGTCTACACAGTACGCAGTGCTCATCAAGATAAACATACCCTTACTCCCCTTCCCTTATTTCACCCATCCCCCCACCCACCTCCTCTCAGGTAACCATCTGCTATCTATAGTTAAGAGTCTGTTTCTTGATTTGTCTTTTGTTTTCCTTTGTTCATTTGCTTTGTTTCTTAAATACCACATATGAGTGAAATCATATGATAGTTGCTTTTCTCTGGCTTATATCACTTCGCACTGTACTATCTGGCCCCACCCATGTTGTTGCAAATGGCAAGATTTCATTTGTTTTATGGCTGAATAATATCCCATCGTGCATATACAGCACATCTTTATCAATTCATCTATCTATGGACACTTGGGCTGCATCCATAACTTGACTATTTTAAATAATGCTGCTATAAACATAGCATATATCCCTTTGAATTAGTGGTTTTGTATTTTCTGGGTAAATATCCAGTAGTGCATTTGCTGGACCATAGGGTAGTTCTATTTTTAACTTTTTAACTTTTTGAGGAATCCCCAGACTGTCTCCCACAGTAGCTGCACCAGCTTGCATTCCCACCAACAGTGCCCGAGAGTTCCTATTTCTCCACATCCTCACAAACATTTGTTATTTCTTGTGCTTTTGCTTTTAGCCATTCTGATAGGTATGAGGTGATATCTCATTGTAGTTTTGATTTGCATTTCCTTGGTGATGAGTGATATTGTATATCTTTTCATATATCTGTTGGCCATCTGGATGTAGTCTTTGGGGAAAAATATTTTTTAATACTTCTGCCCATTTTTTAATTGTTTGGGGAGTATTGACTTGTATTCTTTCTTCATAGATTTTTGGGTACTTACCCTTTATCAAATATGTCACTTGCAAATATCTTCTCTCATCCTATACGCTGCCTTTTAGTTCTGTTGAACAAAAAGCTGTGCAAAAGCGCTTTATTTTCATGTCCCAATAATTTATTTTTGCTTTTAGTTTTCTTGCCTCAGGAGACGTATCCGGAAAAATGTTGCTTCAGCCATTGTCAGAGACATTACTGACTGTGCTCTCTTCTACGATTTTTATGGTTTCATGTCTCACATTTAGGTCTTTAATCTATGTTGAATCCATTTTTGTGTCTGATGTAAGAAAGTAGTTGAGTTCATTCTTCTGCTTGTGACTGTCCAGTTTTCCCAACATCATTTGATGAAGAGGCTGTCTTTTTCCCACTGCCTCTTCTTTTCCATTTTGTCAAAGATTAGTCGACCATACAGTTATGGGTTAATTTCCGGTTTTTTTTTTTCTGTTCTGTCTGATCTACGTGTTTATTTTTATGCCAGTATCATACTGTATCATACTGTTTTGATTACTACAGCTTTGTAATATGACTTAAAGTCTGGAATTGTGATACCTCCAGCTTTGCTTTTTCTTTTTCAAGATTGCTTTGGCAATTTGACATCTTCTTTGGGTCCATACAAACTTTAGGATTGTTTGTTTTAACAATTATGATTGTTTGTTCTAACAATCTAATTGTGCAAAATGCTGCTGGGTTTTTTTGTTTGTTTGTTTTAATAGGGATTGCATTGAATCTGCAGATTGCTTTGGGTAGCAGTTTAACAATATTCGTTAAAATATTGTTGGCCCGGGGCGCCTGGGTGGCTCAGTGGGTTAAAGCCTCTGCCTTCGGCTCAGGTCATGATCCCGGGGTTCTGGGATC